GTTTGACCAAATATCTGGGCACCGTGGTTCAGCCAAGTCGACACACAAAATTAACCACAACAGGTTGCTGTATCCGTTTTTTGTACCCATTAATTACTCACCATTTAGAGTTATCATTTTATTAATATACCCAGGATATTGATACTGCCAGTCTCTTCTTCTTTGTCCTTTTCATTTACAGTTTTTTTTTTCCCTATATTGCTTTCTATCTGTCTGACTGCTGCTTTTCTGTTTTCTTTATGGCATGGCTTCCTTTGCCTGCTTCTTAAATGATCCTTAGGGTTGTGCTTCCCAGACTACCTGGGTCCTCTCTTGTACTAGTGACTTTAACTACCAAATCGGTATCTTCCACTTAGCCCTCTATTCTGAGTTTCATATATTCATTTAAAGTACTAATAAGATATCTATGTTATTAAATATTAAACACTATAAGGGTTTATGGTAACCTCTCAAATGGCCCCCCAACATCACCTGCCTCCTGTTATTCACACTATTGTTTTACCTCTTCCCTTGAGTGTGAGCTTCTAATGAACAGAAGACAGCAAAGGTAATGAAATGCCACTTCTGAAATTAGGTTACAAAAAGACTGGCTTTTGTCCTGCTCACCCTCTGTTGTCCTTTCTTGGTGCTGCCTCATTCTGTCTTTCTTAGACTTGCTGTCATGTTATGGGGAAAGCCTTAGGGGAGGCTCATGTGGCAAGGAGCTCAGTCTCGAATCAACAGTCAGCAAGGACCTGAGGCTTGCCACAGTCACAGGAGTGAGCGTGGAAGCAGATCTCCCAGTTGAGTCTTGAATGGACTGTAGCTCTGGTAGATACTTTGATTGCAGCCTTGTAAAAACCCTGAGTGAGACGCATTCCGTTAACTTGCTCCTGGATTTCTGACAGACAGAAATCATGAGAAAATCGATAATTGTGTTTTTAAGCTGTTAAATTTGGGGTAATTTGTTTTACAGCAATAGATAACTAATCTAGGGTTACCCAGGATCCAATGCCAAGTAAGAACTAGCTTCTGAACTCCATAATCCTCCGGATTATTACGGGTGATAGAAAAGTAGCCATGATTGCAGTGCAATATGACAGATGTTACAGAAACATACATAGCAAGTGAAGGAAGCACAGTCATGCTTGAAGGATGAAGGATTCACTGAGCAGATTTTATTTTGTCATTGAAAATGAGAAGAAAAGATGATGGAATCCTTGAGGGGCAAATGAATTTTTAGAACCTCGACTGGAAAGAATAGTTGAAGGATTTGGAAAAGAAACAAAAAAATGGTACCTAGGAAGTTTAGATTTGGGTTTGGAGATAATGGACTTACAGGATCTTCAGCTATAGTTGGCATTGATTTTTCAAATGCTCTTAGCAATATGGATATAATAGAAAAGTTGATGGTTGAATTTTGGAGTCACAGAAGATAAAACAAAGCAAAAGACCAAGGAAGGGAAGAAAGGCTGAGAAAAATAACAAGATAATTCTTACAATTCTGGTTTATGGAATTTAGGTTAAATAGGAAAAAAAAAAAAAAGCTGCCAAGAGTTTGGGGAAAATGCAGTTGTTTCTGACCTCCCTCCAATCACTAGGGTAACTGAGTCAGTGCTGTTTGGTTTAAGTCTAGGTCAGTGGTTCCCAAACTTATTTGGCTTACCGCCCCCTTTCCAGAAAAAAATATTACTTAGCGCCCCCTGGAAATTATTTTTTTAAAAATTTGAATAGCAATTAAACAGAAAGATATATGTATTGATGTTTCTACCTTTTTCGTAAAATATAGTAAAGAAAGGTGTAAATTAGAAACATTGAAGTTTGAAATTATGAAACTATTTATTGAACTCAGAATAGAAAGGTAATACAAAAAAAGTTAAAACAAATGCACCTGTGGCCATCACCGCCCCCCTGGATCGCTGCAGCGCCCACCAGGGGGCGGTAGCGCCCACTTTGGGAATCACTGGTCTAGGTCATGCACTCATTCCTGAGTTGGAAGAGACTTCTAATCAAGGGTGAGAAAGAAATGGTTACCCAGAAGGAAATCCAGGTATGCTATCATGATGTGAATGGATGCTTTAAAACAGAGGCTGCTGATTCCCTACAATAGTCTCCATTCCTTCCAGAGTAAGGAACCCCTGATTTTTAAGGGGTGGAATAATAGCTGTATTTCCTAGTCTCCCATAGCTAAGCTGATCAAAGAGATGTGGACAGAAGTGTGTGCAACTTCTGGTCTGTGCCTTTCAAGTGAAGGAGATATTCCATTTTCCTTTTACTCCTTTTCTGACAGCTGGAATGTAGTTGTGGTTGTGAGTCAACTTAGGCCATGAGGAAGAGATTACATCCTGGGGGTGGCAGAACAACAGAAGGAAGGTGTAATTCCTGAATGATCTCATAGAGCCTTTATGATACTACATGAAAGATAATAAAACTATATTTTTAAGCCATTTTAATGTGGTTCTCTGTTTTAAGCAGCTGGACCTATATTTCAACTAATTCATATATCCAGTAAAAAAAGATAAGCTAAGAATAGTAGCAAGCGATAAATAAAGGTATGCATAAAAATTAAGGATACAGAGAAGAATCACCTCAAGCCAGGCTGTGAGCTTTCTAAAGAGGTGGAAGTTTCTGCTCAGTAATAGACTATAGACTGTCCACAGGTGGTGGAGTTCGAGTCAGGCAATGTGCCTCCACAGTTCATTCTTCCAGCAGTGACACTAGAAAGCACTGGTGATGGCAGCATGGCAGTGACAATTGGCCCATGCATCAAACACATCCAAGGAACATTGGGACCTTGGTGTACTTTCTTAAATTAGTCATGGTATGGGTTAATGGTTCTTGAAAAGAGTCATAGAAATTTTAAATTTTAGGGGTAGAAGAAATCTTAATGATTAGCAAAACCTTCTGCTCCAATGCACCTACAAAAATAAAAGTTCCAGAGATGCTAAGTTTTGCACATAGCCAGTGGAACCCAGGGGTCCCAGCCCAGTGAGGGCTCGGGGTTTGTACTTCATTTGTAAAGAATCGCTTTTTTTTTTTCCTCCAGCAAAATTATAACCTCAAGTTGCTATTTGCAATGTTCCCTTTTATTTTTCCACAAACGTACCTTGCATTGGCATAGCATTCTAGCTTTCAGAATATTTGCACTTATTTTCTCATTCGATCCTGACAATAATCTTGTGCAATGTGGTGAGTGGAGGGTTAAGTAACATTCCCATTTACCGATAAGGAAATTGAAGTCTCCAAGTGACTTTCCCACGATGACGAACAGCTAGTAATTGATTGAGGGAATTGAGTATGAAGCTCTTTACCAATCATCCACTTATTTCCCTAATTGTCATTTTTTCCCCAGCTTTCTATTTATTGAGGAAAAATACAGCGTTGGCAAAAGTAGGTGTACAGTCATGAGTATGAAAAGCACTGAGTTAATTCTTGTATTATTACTTATTAATTATTGTACTGTTTTCCACATGAACAACTGTTAACCTACTTTTGCCAACCCCGGTAATGTGTGGCTCATGAGGAAATTGGCATAACCTTCTGATGACAAATTATTCAGGATCTTTTTATTTTATTTTATGTTTTTATGGACTTTTTTAAGAGAGAGAAACATCCCTCGGCTGCCTCCTGCATGCCTCCCACGCAGGCTCGAGCCCTGCAACCACGAAACAGCCAGCAACCCATTCAGGGTCTTTTTGTTACCTTGAACTGCAATATCCAGTAGGCAGCCTCTAACCACCTATGGCTATTTATATTTAAACTAGAGGCCCGACGCACTGATTCGTGCACCGGTGGGATCCCTCCAAGGAATCCCAGGTTGTGACAGGGCGCAGGCCAGGCCAAGGGACTCCACCAATGCACAATCGGGGCCAGGGAGGGACCATCTAGCCCAGTCCCGATTGGCTGGACCCCAGCAGCAAGCTAACCTACCGGTCAGAGTGTCTACCCCCTGGTGGTCGGTGCGTGTTATAGTTACCCGTCAAATGGTCACCTAGGCTTTTATATATATAGATTAATTAAAATTCAATAAGATCACATACTCAGTCCCTCGATCACACTAGTCACATTTCAAGTGATCAGTGGTCACACACGGCCAGTGGCTATTCGGTTGGACTGCGCTGATAGGAGCGTTTCCTTTGCATCAGACAGTTTGCTCGGACACCCTGGGACAGTTGGTAGACAAACCGCGGCTTGCGAGCCACATGCGGCTCTTTGGCCCCTTGAGTGTGGCTCTTCCACAAAATACCACGTGCAGGCGCGCACGTACAGGGAACGTTGTGGAGTGAAAGAAGATGTAGTGTCAAGGATTGAGAAAGGTATGTTGAGATGGTTTGGACTTATAGAGAGGATGAACGAAAGGAGATAGACGAAACAAGTATACAAGACGAGTGTGGGCGAGCCACATGCGGCTCTTTGGCCCCTTGAGTGTAGCTCTTCCTAAGCCTTAGGAGTACCCTAATTAAGTTAATAACAATGTACCTACCTATATAGTTTAAGTTTAAAAAATGTGGCTCTCAAAAGAAATTTCAATCGTTGTACTGTTATTTGACTCTGTTGACTATTGAGTTTGCCGACCACTGCCCTGGGAGATTTGCGAGCGGTGTCTCCCTTCCATCAGTCCCCAATCTTGCCCTCCATCTGGGTCTAATCCCAGCGGCACCCAAGCACTGCCACTTCCTAACGGAGACTTTGAAGCTGCGGGACGCCAATAGCAGTCCTTGGGCCTCCTCCTGCTAAGAAGGACATGGGGTAACCCAAGCCCCAGCTTCTTCCACAAAAGTCAGTACAGCCAGTGGGCGGCGAAGGGCGGCGAAACCCAGCGCCGACGGGGAAAGAGGCGAGTGGGCGGGGCTGAGCGCGGG